AAGGGAGGGAGCGAGAGGGAGACAGGGAAGGAGGGGGGGAGAGAGAGCTTGTGTAGGTTCAGGTAAGAGCAGGAGGAGCAGGGAAAGAAGGACCACAGAGCACGGGGGAGGTGTTGGAGAGACTGGGAGGTCGAGGCAGGGATAAAGGCTAGAACAACCGAATGGGACAGAAATGGAGAAGTGACTGGCTTTGGACACAGCTGACTTCGGAAATGACCTGGCACACTTGTTACAAGGGTTCCTCTCCCTGCCCCCTATGGGGTAAGGGGGGAAGAAAAGAGATTTTGGTTAACTGAAATTAAAACAAAGAAAAAAGAAATAGCTCTAGAAAACTTGAGAAGAGAAAAAAAGTTAGAGTCAAAGAGAAGGAAGGAAAGAAAGAGGGAAGGAGGGAGGAAAGTAGGGAAGGAGGGAGGGAGGGAGGGAAGGAGGAAGGAAGGAGAAGGGAAGGAAGGAACAAGGGGAGGGAGGGAAGGAAGGAAGGGAAGGAGCGCTGTTTAAGCACATGATGTTAAGGGCCATGTTAAGCACTGAGGATACAGAGATGAGGTGAGCCAGCCCCTGGCCTGGAGGAGCTTCTGTTTTAGCAGGGGAGACACCACACAGGGAGGGACTTGAGGGTGGCCAGAGCAGAGCTCTCTGGGGGGGCCGTGGGGATGGGAGTGAAGGAGTCGTCGGCAGCCGTGCGCTCTCCAGAAGCCACAGCAATGCCGTTTTGCTTCTCATGCCCGAAGCCAGAGCTGGGAAGGGGTTGGGGGTAGGATGGGCTGGAGGGGACACGAGCTCTGCAGCAAAGCCAAGGGGAAGGTGGCCGGGGTGAAGGCCGGCTGGCATGTGAAGCATGGTCCGGTCTGGCTCAGGCCGGATCTACTGGGCTACTTGAGCTTGCACTCACTGGGTCACCACTCATCACTGGGTGGGAAAGAAAGAAGCTTTGGGGTCAAAAGTCAGGGAGCCAGGATCAGGAAATAGGCCGTGTGGGACAGTGGAAAGCAGGCTGGCTTTGGAATCACGGGCCCCAGGTTCAGATCGTGCTTACTGCCTGTAGGCCCTTGGACAGGTCAGTTACTTAACCTCTCCAGACCTCAGCTCCTTTATCCTTCAGTAAGGGCGGTTGGCCTAGCTGGCCTGGGAGATTCCTTCCGACTGGAGATCCCGGGCCCTTCAGGGACCAAGCCCTGGCATCAACACCGTAAAACTCGCCGAGCGGGAGGGAGAGGTCACCCTGATGCTGGGGCACGCGAGGCCCCCTGCCCCGCCATGCTCACCTTCCTCTCCAGCTGCCTCTTACTCTGCTGTTCCACTTCCAGCTTGTCCTCGAGCTCCTGCTGCAGACGCTTCTTGGTGAAGTCTACCTCTCGAACTGCCCGCTCGTACTTGAGGCGCCACTCCCCACCTGCATGCGGGGTATGGGGAAGGCTGAAGAGGGGCACCCTTGGGAAGGGTGAGCGCGCCAGGGGAGAGCTGAGACGATGATAAAGTGAAGGATGAGGCGGAAGGAGTTTTGGGGCTGGGGGCTCGAGAAGGGCACCGGGGAGGGCAGCTTCTCCTACAGCTGGGGCTCAGTGGCTTCTCCCCAACCCCTGAGCCTAGCTAGAGAGGGAGACCATGGGGCTACGTGTGCTTGGCATAAAATATCAAAGGATTATAGGCCTTTGGGGTGATGGCCCCCTTGGGCGGGCTAGTGAAACCTACAAACTCCTTCTCCAAATAGTATTTTCTAATTAATTGAAGGAAATGCTCAGTTCTAGTTAGAGGTAATTAAAAATGTCATTTTCCCCCATGCAAGTCCATGGACTCCCTGAAATCCACCCAGATCCCCCTTGGGGCCAGTTTAAGGACCCCCAGGGAGGACCCAAAAAGGACCTCAGAGACCCAGCCCCCTTATTTGACAGGTGAGAACACTGAGACCCAGAGAGGTTATGACCTGCTCCGGGGCACACAGCACCCAAACCCAGGGTCTCTGACTCCACGCCCATCCATCCCCACTCACCCGAGTCATCATCGTCCACCTCCCCATTGAGTTCAGTAGCTCGGATAAGCCTGGCTTCCATCACCTCAATCTCCATGGCCTCCATTTGCTTCTTCAGGGCATCATACTGAGTCTGCAGTGTGGGAGGGCAGGGGGTGCTCAGGAGAAGCCCCCCTCTACTGGTACCCCCCCACCCATGGACAGCCAACCCTACGCTCGACTTGCTTTGCTCAAAAGCTGTGAACGGGTGGATAGGCGAGGGGCAAAACGTGCCGACTTCCTTTCTGGGAAGAGGCTGCCCTAACCCTGCTGCTCCCCGGTCCCTTCCCCATCACCTGCAGCTCCTTCATCTCCTTCTCCGCCCGGAGCCTCTCAGCTGCCTCGGCATCCAGGAGCTGGGAAGTTGACTCGCCGGTATTTCGCTCATCCGCCAACTCTGATGTCAGCTCTGAGATCTGGGGGAAGAGAAGAGTCATTCCAACTGTCTCCCACCTGGAGACCGGTACCGGAGCAACCACCAGCCAGCAACGCCCCCCGGGACGTGGGGCTCCTCCGGGTCGCAGAGGAAGGCTCCCACGCCCCACCTGCCGGGCTAGTCTCAGCCACCGCCAAGCGGGGGCCGGAGGGCCAGAGGGCCGGAGGCCGCCTGCGGTGAGCGGGGGTGGCCAAAGGTCAAGGAAGCCGACTCACTCGGGTCTCTAGCCGGTCGCCATTGAGCCGAAGCTCATTCCGTTCCTTTTCCACCTTCTCGAGCTTGCTCCGGAGCTGCTGAATTTCCTCCTAGAAATAGATCAACCAATTAGTGAGCATTTATCAAGCAAGCGTCGTGTTAGGCCCCGGCCATACAAAGACAACAGTGAAGCTGTCCCTCTACCCTGGAGGGGGTTCCACGCCGTAGAAGGAGGGATAGTTTGAGCCCTGGCCTTGAATTCTGGCCCCAGAGGCTGTCTCCTTCAGGATGCTATGCCGGCAGTCAAAAGACGTGCGTTCAAATCTGGTCTCTGCCACTTATTGTGTGACCGTGGGCAAGTCACTTCTCAGGTCCTCAGTTTCCCCCTCTGTAAAATGAGGGTGTGTGTGGACTAGATAACCTAGCACTAAACCAATGATCCTGGATGGAGGTTGGGGATCCAAAGGTTAATGACTGTCGGTCTGGGCAACCACAGAGGGGACTTTGGGGGACAAACCAAGCTCGTTCTAGAGAACAAACCCGTGCCTCAGTTGTGGAGCCAGGATCGGGGGACCTGGAAGCAGTCACAGGAGCACCACCCCCGCCCCCACCCACTACTTCTAGGCAGGCACGGCCAGCCCACCCTCACCCTGGTATCCATCCCCTAACACTGCCCAGTCACAAACAAGAAAAGCTGTGGACGGAGGGGACGAGTCCATACTGGAGATGCCTGTTTGTTCCTCATAAGAGAGGCAGCTAGTGAAAACAGCCACGCCCCATTCTGTAGGGAGCACGCGGGCCAGGGGAGCCCTCTGGAACAGCCCTGAACGCCCTGACAGCAGGTGCCTAGGCCTGTGGGGCAGCAGAGAGGACTCAGGTTCAAAGTCCAGCGCTAACTCTCACCTCTGGGGGAGCTTCTGGGCCTCCACTGGCTCCTCTGTAAGATGAGGGGGCGGGACGGACAGAGCCAACGGGAGAACGTTCTTGGTTGCAGGGTAACATTAGTTATGAGGGCTTTGTCTTTCATTTGGGGGGGGGTAATCGGGGAGAGAAAATGCTTGTTTTTCATGGAAACAACAAAATGAATTTTAAAAACGTAAGGGCGTCATAAAATGAGGGGGTGGACGAGATGACCGCCGAGCCCTTCCTGGGCCAAGCCCACGTGAGCCCAGAGCGCCCACTCACGTCCTTGCCGCGGATCTGCTCCTCGGACAGCTGCACCTCGACGAGCGGCCGCACGGCCGTGAAAAGCCTCCACCACGGCCAGTCCTTCACCCCCTGGTTCTTTTTAATGTTCTTCTGGACACAGCGAATGGCCAGGTCTTGGATCTGAAATCACACAAGCTCTTGCTTACTGGGCGTTTTAAGGCTCAGAAAACCCTGAGTGTGACTGTCCTGGTTTTACAGGTAAGGAAGCTGGGGCTCAGATGGGTCGACTGTCTTGCCCAGGGTCACACAGCTGGTAAGTATTAGAGCACTGGGTTCAAATCCTATGTCTAATGCTTATTTCCTGGATGACCTTGGGCAAGTCACTTAACTAATTCTTCTGGGCCTCAATTTCCTCATGTGTCCAATGAGGGCACTGGACTGGACAGCCTTCCTATTCCAGACCCGGGATCCTACCATCTCCTGGGGTTTAATCCACTTGGATTTCCCCTTCTTGCTGCTTCTCTGTTTGCTGCCCCCAGCCTGCAAGGGCAGCTGGAGGCGGGGGAGCGAGGCCTGACCCCTGGGGCAGAGCCCCCCCCCCCCCCCCGGGAGCTCCCTTCCCTGTTCTCATCAGGACTAATTTCACTGGCTTTATTGGCCGCCTGGTTTTCTCTTCTGCTCTGGCCTGGATGTACCATAAAACCTAATCTTGCTGAAACATACGAGGCGATGGTGCCGGCTGCTTTATGGACGTGCTAATAGGAAAAGGAGCCCTTGACACAGCTCCTTAATCTTCATGGAAAGACCCAGGATGCAGCGCCGACCCACCCCTAACCCCCAAGGCTCCCCTCTCTGCGGGACCATGCTGCGTCCTCTTGGCGGGGACGCCCCAAGGACTTGGGATGCTCACTGGTGCTCATCCTGGGTGGCTGCTGAGAAAGCCACAGGAGGGACAGGGGCAAGACCAACAGATTTGGAGCCAAAGGGCCTGAGTTCAAATCCTGCCCCTGACACTTTGAGCAAGTCCCTTCCCATCTCTAGGACTATCCACATCTATAAAATGAGGGATGACACGATCCCAAGGGTCGCCTGAGATGCCCCTTTCCTTCCCCACTCCCTAGGGGTTAATGTCATTGGAAATGCCCTGGCCCACTTCCTGCACGACATGGCCCCAGTGCCCAGCCCCAGGTCCCACTTCTTGGTCCCCTGCACATTCCCCCCCAGGTTCTCACTATAACCCCCCAAACTGAGGAAGCGAGCCACGGACGGGCGTCTGGAGCCGGGACAGTGGCCGGATCGAGGCATGAGCGGTCTGCCCTAGCGGGGTACCTTTCTCTTCTGGAAGTGTTGGCGGGCCAAGTAACCGCGGCACGCTGCCTGGAAGAGGGTCAAGTTCCTGCTGGTCTGTTCATCCCTCTGTTCTTCCAGTCGGGCCAAGGTGCCTGCCCGGAAAAATACCTACGGGAAAGAAGAACAGATAAAGGCCGGAAGCTAGGCCTGGGGGTCAGCAGGAAGTGGGGAACGGGAGAGCAGAGCCTGGAGAGGATCCCTCTATGAGCAAGCTGGAGCCAGAAAAGTCCCAGATGGGGGGAGAATCAGAAATAGATTGCTGGGGGACAGAGGAAGGGAGCAGGGTACATGCAGGCCTAGACGGGCTGGGGGCCACAGAAGACCCACAGTTCTCAAGAGAGATGCAGGAGAGGAAAATGGAGAAGAGATGGGCCAAGGAGACGTCCCCTTTACAAAACCAGTCTCGACTGGGGTCCGAAGAGGGGGCCTCAGAGGTGGCATTTCCTACCAGCTGCCCAGTTGAAAATGCTGAAGGGTTCCAGGTCATTCCCCGCTCCCCTCCCCCTGAAAGGCCAGCCTCTGGCTTCCCACCTTTGAGGTCAAGGTTGGGGTGATGATTGCTGTAGGGCACTCCCAGGAGGGGACCCCAGTTCCCTCCTCTCACAGGTGGCTACATTAGAATTCAGAGCCCTGCCTGGAATAGGGCTATATAGGAAAAAGAGCAGGAGAGGAGGGGAGACAGAACAGAAGGGCCCTGGCCCCACCCCTGGCCCCACCTCTCCCCACTCAGTTTCCTCTTCATCAGCCACGTCTTTCATGTGGTGACGCCCCTGCCCCCAGTCCCCCACCCCTCCCCACACCCAAGCTTCGTCTCTGGTGGTAAAGCCAGTGGGGTGGGTGGTGGCTGGTTTAGGCAAGGGACCTGTCTTACAGGTTTGGGGCTGGAGGATAGACGCAAAAGGCCCCAGCCCAGCGGGCGCCCCCGCTCCCGGCCTCACCCCTCACTCCATTGCGCTGGACCCAGCTAGAGCCCATGCCTTCTTTTGGAGGGAGAAGGAGGAGAATCAGAAAGGAAAACAACTTGGTCAGGACCCTCCTGGCCATTTGTCTTCAAAACAAAGCTGCCCAGATGTCACTAATTTCCTCTGTGCGGGACATGTGTCTGTCTTTAGGTCTGGAGCCAGGCATGTAGGTAACGTGGATGGTATGGAGAGGCTGGCATTAGCCACAGTGACCCAGGAGCTGGCTTCCTCCATGAGGCCACCCCCCACCCCCCCAAGGCCCATGGATGAACAACTGGGAATCTATTCCTATGTGTTCTCTCTACTTCTTCTGTATATGCTTACAAATGCCCTTGTGGTGTCCTCTGTTAGAATGTAAGCCCCTTGAGGGCAGGGACTGCTTAATTCTGGTTTAATCAATACTTGAAAATTGATCGATTGACTCTTCTCTAGGAAGAGGCCGGAAGCTGAACTCTGCCTAAGGCTTCTGCCTCTCCATTTCCCCTGCCTCTCTGTCCTTTTCTTCCCCCCTCTACCTATGGAGTTAGGTTTTCTGCTGAGGAAATGTTGTCTCTGGGTTACCAACCAAAACCTCCTGCCCCAGGGCAGCTCAGAATCACAGCCAAATTGGGTCCTCAGGACCTTCTCCCCTCAGCAGCACGCCTGGATCTAAACTCCTGGGACCCCCTTTGGGTGTAAGCCCAGAGGAGACAGAGATTCTGCCTCAGGGGGCCAGGAGTGATAAACACCCTTGTGATGCCCCCCAGGACCAGGTAGTCACACCGGGGCAGGATTCCTAGCTAACTTGAGGAGGTAAGGATGGGGGGGGAAGAGAAGGGGAGAGAGGGAGAAGAGAGGAGGAGAGAGGGAAGGAGAGGGAGAGAGAGACAGAGACAAAGAGACAGAGACAGAGAAAGAGGGAGACAGAGAGAGAGACAGAGAGAGAGAAGGAGAGAGGGAAGGAGAGGGAGAGGGAGAGAGACAGAGACAAAGAGACAGAGACAGTGACAGAGACAGAGAAAGAGGGAGACAGAGAGAGACACACAGAGAGAGAAGGAGGGAAGGAGAGGGAGAGAGACAGAAATAGAGACAGAAACAGAGAGAAAGAGACAGAGAGACAGTGACAGAGACAGAAAGACAGAGAGAGATCGAGAGACAGACAGAAAGAGAAAGACGGAGACAGAGAGAGAGAAAGAGGGAGACAGAGAGAAAGAGATAGAGACAGAGAGAGAGAGAGGAGAGAAAGAAGGAGAGAGGGAGAGAGAGAGGAATCCCTGGAGGAAAGAACAAATACAGCAGAAAAGACCCCAAGTCTTAAGGCTGGGAAATGTAATGATAGCTGGTTTAGAGATGGGGGCCAGTAGCCTAGAACCTGTAAAGCAGAGGGTTTTAACTTAGGAATCCATGACCTTAAAATAATTTTTTGATGACTATATTTCAACCTAATTGTTTCTTTTGTAATTCTACATATTTTCTTTCATGCATTTAAAAATATTATTCTGGGAAGAGGTTCATCAGCTTTGTCAGACTGCCCAAGGGGTCTGGAACCCTTTCCTTAGAATAGCATGCAGATGACTTGTGGCACTGATGCTATGCCTACCTGCCCATGCCCACTATGGCACGGCAGATCTCTGTACACAGGAGGTATTTAGGAAACGGAATCAAATTAAGCCTATATAGCTCACCCCCAAATGATGAGAGCCCTGAAAATCCCAGCCCTGACCTCTCTCTCTGCCTGAAGGCAGGAATGGGCACTGGGGCTGGTCTGTCTCAGCCAAAGGAGTTAGCGTGACTCAGAGAGGCACTGGAGCCCGAGAAGATGATCCAAAAGGGGGCTGGCCTGGGGAGGCGCCACAATGCTTTGGACATGCTTGGAAACCTGGTACCTGACCTGGAGAAGGCACCACAGAAACATTCCCCCACCTTCCGCCAAGCCTCGAATCTTAGCAAGCCTGCTCATTACACTATTTGAGGAGAATCACCACTGAATAGGGAGGGCATGACCTACTTCAAGGAAAAACCAAATTATTTCATTAAGATCCTTCATGCCAAGAACACCTAAGAATGCTGAGGAGGGAGGGAAAGAGGAAAGGAGAGAGAGAAGGGGGGCGGAGGAGAGAGAACAAAAATGAATAAGGGGAGGCCAAGACAGAGACGCAAAACCAGAGACAACACACGTAATGAGCAAAAACAGAACAGTAAGAGAGAGAGACAGAATGAGAGCAATATGACAGAGAGGGGAAGGAAAGAGAATAAGGCAGAAAAGCAAAAAGAAAAGACCATAAAACAATGAGGACAGAAAGTGAAAGAGACTGATGGGGACTGATACCAACAGGAAAAATGAGAGAGAGAGAGAGAGAGAGAGAGAGAGAGAGAGAGAGAGAGAGA